TGTTGAAAGCTGTTCATATTTGTCGCCTGACCGAAAAAATCCCGACTGTGCATCGCACTCTCCTTGTCCTCCTCAAAGTGCTTAATAACAGGCGACATCGGCACCCCCCCCGGCCTTTCCTCACTCCCCGGCCTCGACAGCCCTTTCTGCGGGGAGATAGACTTGGGAGTGGTACTATCCCCACCACCACCACCACCACCACCATCACTTACAACCCCCACCCCATCACTCACGACCGTATACCCCGGAAAATGCCCCCTTTCCTCCCTCCCCTCCCCCCCAGGCTTAGGCGTGGCCAGTTCCTCATGCATCTCTCTATCATGTTCCACCCCAACCCCCGGAATCCCCGCATTATCACAATGCTCCCCCGAATCCGAACAATCACTCACCACACTGCTCCCAACCCCATCATCCACCGCCACCATCCCCCCTTTCCTCCCCTTACTCCCCCACCTGACCAACATCCTCTCCAAAACCCTACTCTTCACCGGCTTGCTCAGATAATCATCCATCCCCGCCCTCTTGCACTTCTCCCTATCCCCCTGAATCGCACTCGCCGTCATGGCCACGATCGGCACGTCCCCCACAAAAGCCTTGTACGGCAAGTGGTGCCTCAGCAAGTGCGTGCACTTGTACCCATCAATCAGCGGCATCTGCACATCCATCAAAATGATATCCGGCTTCTTCTTCTCCCCATTCTCCGCCGCAATCAGGTAATCCAGCGCCTCCTTCCCGTTCCAGGCAGCAACAACATTAAAGCCGAGTTTTCGAATCGTTTTGATGGCAATCTGCTGATTGATAGCATTGTCCTCCACAACCAAAATGTGGATCTTGGACCTCTCTTCCAGGGACAGGTCTTCCTCAGGCGAGGACACACCAGGTAGGTTGACCGACGACGAGTTGCGCCACGATGAACGGCCCCTGTCCCCAAGTACAGAACCGATCTCGGGGGGCGTTCCCATAGCATGGTCGTACTCCGAGCTGTGGCACGAGACGCTCATCTCCGACTGCAACCGATCAGGAATGGGATCAATCTGGACAAGGCTGGACTTTTGAGCAGCACCCTGGGGCTTGTTGAACGGGATCCAAAACGTGGCCGTCGTCCCCGTCCCAAGAGTGGACTCGAGCACCATCCTCCCCTTCATCAAATCCAGCAGGTGCTTGCAAATCGTCAACCCCAATCCCGTCCCGCCAAACTTCCTCGCCGTCGAAGCGTCACCCTGACTAAAAGGCTGAAACAACCTCTTCCTCACCTCCTCCTCGATCCCGATCCCCGTGTCCTCGATCACAAACTTGATCTCGGTGATCTCGGGCGTGTCCTTCTCCTTGAAAACCGAAAACTTGACATGCCCATGGTTGGTGAACTTGATGCTGTTCGTCACCAGATTCGTGATAATCTGCCTCACCCTCCCAGGATCGCCCATAACCACCATGTCAGTCTCGATATCCTCCGAGATGTCGGAATGAAAGGCCAAATCTTTTCGCTCGGCGGCAAAGCTCAACATCTTGGACACATCTCGGACGATAACCGAGAGCGAGAACTGGACTTCTTCAATGTCGAGCCTCCCCGACTCCACCTTGGAAAAGTCCAAAATGTCGTTGATGACCGTCAACAGCGCGTTGGCGGAGCGGTAGATGTTTTCTGTAATGTCACGTTGTTCTTCCGTGAGCTCAACGTCGAGAAGCAGCTCCGACATCCCGATCACGCCTGTGATGGGGGTTCGAATTTCATGAGACATCTACCTTCAATGTTAGCTCCCGCAGTTTGTTCATCAGACGTGTCACCACCTACATTAGCAAGAAACTGCGACTTCAACCTGCTGGCCTCCTTGGCGGCAGCTTCATTAGCCACCAGTTGTCTCTTTTCCTGAGCCTGCGCCTGGATGTCCTGTTCTCTCGCCTTGAGCTCGGTAACATCCATGATGAGGCCTATCACGCCCTCGATGATGGTGTTTGCTTCCCCCTTCTCACGGATTCTTTTCCCTAGAATGGGTTGGAACCGAGTGCGGTACCAGCGTCCATCTGTTGCAATGTCAGCATATACCAATAGTCGCTTGCTAGACCCAAAAACATACCCATCTCATGCTCTTGAAAGTCCTCCCTCGTCGTACTCCCATCAAGAATAGACTCCAGCGGACTTAAGAAAGCCGGCATCTGTCCCTCTGGCAGCTGCGAGTTAAGACGATTAAACACGTCGTAAACATTCTCCCCAATAAACCAGCGCGAGGTGGTATTGTCACACTGATAGTCCCATATCAGCGCTCCCTCAATCATGGTGATCTTCCGGTTCAGGTCGACCGTAAACATCGTCATGTTAGACAGAGCGATAACACTGAGAAGCTGCTGCCGAGTTCTCTTAGCCTCGATCTTGGTCTCGATGCTTTCATGGACGTCGGTGCATGTTCCTAAACAAACGAGTGAGTGCTCCGTCACAGATCTGCCAGGGACAGACGAAAGCTCACCAAACCACTTCTCAATCTTGCCCGTCTGCTTATTCCGCAACGGCAGCGCCCTCCCCAGAAACCACCTCCACTCCCCATCCTTGCTGCGACACCTGTACTCCGTCATGTAGGGCTCGCCAGTCGCCAGAGAGTGCTTCCACCGCTTCGCAGCCTCCACCATGTCATCCGGATGAAAAGGCTTCGACCACCCCTCACCAAACGAGTCTTCCTCGGACAGGCCGGTGTAATGATACCACCGACTATTATAAAAATCATGCTGCCCATCAGGCGTCGCCGTCCACACCAACTGCGGCATCGTGTCACAAATAAGCCCAAACCTCTCCTCATCCGCCGCCTTGATCTGGTTCAGCTCCTCATGAAGCCTGGTCACATCCCGGCATGTCACGACGCCGGCGAGAAACTCCCCCGTGTTCTCATCATTGATCGCCACCCCCTCCACGTCAAAAACAAGACTTTTCCCATGCTCATCACGCATCCCGATGCGGAGGCCGACAAAGGGCTTCTCGGTTCGCAACAGCACAGCGATCGGATACTCGCTCGGATCCAGCTGCTTCGTAAAATCCTGGTCCCATACCATCCAGTTTGGCAGCAGATCAAAGCCATCAGCCGACTTGTCAAGGTCAGCGTTTCGGACAAACAAGTTGCGGGCAGCACGGTTGGGAAGCGTTACACTTCCGTCTCTCCACATGGCCAGGATGGGCGTCTGGATATTATCAAGCAAGGCATCCTTCATGATGTTGATCTTTTGGAGTACCGACGGCGCGCTTGAGGGTGCCGAGGCAGCGGGCGGTCCAAAGGGGGGGAACGGGTTGGCGGAAAAGGACACGGCAGAAGGGCTGAGCTTGAACGAGGAGGAAGCGTTGGAGTCCCTGCTAGAGGCCGCAGAAGGTGGGTTGCTGACATGAGGTATAGACTTCCTCTCGGCAGCTTCCAAATAACTCGGTTTGGCCGTCGATTTTCTCCTACTCATGGCGGGGCTGAAAGCCGAGTTGGTGTTGGTGAAGGTCAACGTGAAGAAAGTTTGTCCTTCGCTGACATCCCAGACCGATATGATCATCTTGGCACGCCTTTGGGAAGCCGACAAGTTGTGCCTTGCTCGAGGATCATACGTGGAACTGGTGACATCTTTGGGAGAAATCACCACCTCGATGGCGAGGGTTGGCGTGTGGTCATGGGGTTTTCCATCGAAAACGTGGTCATCATTCGCTCCGTCCGGTATTGGCGTGGCATCTCCGTCGACCTCGACGGCGCCGTCGGCTGTCGCCGATGGACTTCCACCTCCCGTTTCGACAGCAGCTTGGTTGAGAAATTGCTCCCAATCAAGCCAAACCGGAACGCCGTCCTGAACCAGATCAATGCCCACCTGAGCCAGGGTCTTGCCGCGAAGAATGTCCACGACGGGTACCATGCCGTCACCGTCGGCACCAACATTTTCGGGTATCATACCGAGCAGTCTTCCCATGGCTTCGTTTGCCAAAGCTACCGTCTTTAAGCCGTCCAAAACAAGCACGGGTACTGGGAGAAATTGTAAGGCTGAGAAGGCCACTTGTCCGGGCGTGATACATGGCATCGGTATGCGAAATGGACTGGCGTTTTGCGATCGAGGAACACCTGGCGTGAGTAAGGGAGCGTCCCTAACGAACCGATTACCGCTTATGGGGGCCACATTGTAGGCGGGCGACTGAGGTCGACTGTGATGGCGGGTATATCGACCAAAATACTGCGTGTCGTCTGGGGTCGAGTGCGGGGAATGGCGGACAGGGACTGCTGGGCTGGTGTCGACGGCGCAGCTGGCCTCCTGTAACTCTTGACTGGGCGTCATGTCGACGTCGCCGTCAGGAGGGGCATCGAGCAGACAACGGCCCGCGAGCCCAAGATGGCTGGATTTGAGGTTTGGCGGGGTGTATGTGTGCGTATGTGATTTGGTCGTCAAAACAAAAACGTTTTTGGGCATCCAGGAGTTGTGTCTTTGGCTAGATAGTTTCGGTTCGAATTGGTCCAGACACTGGACAGCATCAGCAATGACTAAACTCCCACCGGCGGCTCAGGAACTCTATTGTCACGTTAAGCTGGGCATCTCCGTCTTAGAGCTCGCGTTGCGTTGTGAAGGGCGCGGCTGATTCTATGGAAGCACAGAAAGTGTATGGTATGAGGTCGCGATAGCAAGTCGAAGATTGGAAAGCAGTGCGAGATAATCTACTCCCACCTCGCTCTCTCTGGTAATTCAGATGCAAATGGAAAGAATCGACTAGGCCCCCGGGGTGGCTTTTTTGCCCAGTGCCAACGGTACCTAGGCCGGCTGCGTAATCCGACCTGAGCGGCTTTAAGGTTGGTTTAGTCAAGGCCGTTTGTTTCTGCTCCCGGTGTCGTCATTGGCAACCACGTCCCTAAAAGATCAGAGCAAACTCTCCCACTGAGCCGTTAGCTGAACACTAGTAAGTTTGAACATCCGATGAACGGTAACAGGGGGAAATCCACAAGGATGGAACAGTGGAGGGTCAGCATCAGATTTCTGAAGTGGCAATGCTACCTCAGCGGTCACTATCGTGAAGATCGTGTATCCGAGACAGCAATGGAATGCGCCGAACGGAAGCACTGGGTCAGACGAAAGCGGGAGGGGTGTCAGACCAATGTCATCTCGCAGTTTGTCCAACTGTGACCCTCACCGCCCTCAGCTGGACAACTCTGCTCAGAGATGGGATTTCCACTCAGAAGCATGGGATTTTGCATTGTTCCGTATATAATGCCCCAAAACACGGTTCCATTCGCGATGTCGAAGCCGATGCGACCTTCTGTTGATCGCTTGCATTTCATTGGGCGGGCATTGCTAACAGTTGCCGGCAGTTGTCGTTACCAAACCACCGCTTGGATTTCATGTTCTCAACACTGACTTTTGGACCATCTCGAAAATCATATTTTATAGCACCCCGTCGTGCCTGTTCCACGAGCGCACAGCAGTTGACACTTTTGACACGTCTCACCGGTTCGGATGACTGACTCGGGAGGTCTTCTAGCCGAGTAACCCAAGCCAACAAATTGGGAACAGAGACTGTTTGTCTACCTTGATGAGAATCGAGACTTTACGGTCCAGCCCCGAATCACGGCTCTACAACAAGCCCGGGGCTGTGTGGTCAGGATGAAGCCGGAGACAAGACAGGGCCAAGCCCGTGACTCCACTTCTCCACACATTCGCCGGCACCGGATGCCGGGGGCACGTCGCCGGGTATCCTTCGGGCCGTTCAGCACGTGGGTTCACTCCCCGATACTACTACGACAACGCTCCGGTCGAGACACCTTGCGGCTCTTGGGACACACCGTGTGATGGTTGCTCTATAGTGACATGCTGACGAGTGTGCGGCTCATCGACAATGTCTTATCGGCCCCCCCTCCCACCCCCCTCGACCCCAAATTCTGGCTGTCACGCTGCCACCAGGTCTTTCTTGGTCCGCATTCCGAGCCCTTGGCGCCCAGAACCCGGAGTCGAAGCAAGGCTGAGCCTCCGAACGCAGCACCCGCGATGAATGCCGAACATGCTCCCCACCATGAGTACCCCACCTGGAGACCCCGCAGGAAGGGTCTAGAGAGATGGAGGGGTCACCAGGGAGCTGGGTTTTGCCATCGGATTTGCCCCGTTGAACAACGTCACTGGAAAGGGAAGGCTCAAACATGGCATTTTCTGCATCTTCGGATGGCAGCTGTCTACAGTGAGATGAGATGATGGTGGCCTTCTCTTCACCTTTGGACAACCAATCATAAGTGATCATTGTCATGACAGACAAGTAGGAACCCAGCATCACCAGGGCAGGCCGGCAAGTGTTTTCAGTGTTTTATACCCTCCCACATGCGCGCCGCTTCACAACCCCATCTTGGCCACGGTCTCCGGGGACGGCACTCATCCAGGGGTAACGCCCCTCGCGATACCCACATGCCGGCCTGTGACAAGATCCCAGACTCTGCTCCTCCAGGCCAATCCAGGTTCACCCCCCACATGATGACCGATCATGTCTGTCTTCTTCCTATTTTTCTCCCGCTTCTCCCCAGCTTCATCGGCTTTGTTCCCGTTCCTCTGGATCTCACTTCTGCTGTAGCCTCTTCCTTGTTTTCTTCTTGTTGATACCCCGGACTGTACCTTGCCTTTGTCTTCTTTCCCATCTCTCTTTCCCCGCCTTTTTCGCCCATCATGTCTGACGCCGCCACCTACTCGGTCCCTTTCTGGATCAACGGCGAGGAGTACCACGCCGAGAAGCAATACGATGTCATCTCGCCCGTCACCGGCAAGGCCATCCACCGGTCCGGCGCCGCCTCGGATGCCGACGTGAAGAAGGCCGTCGAGGCCGCCGACAAGGCTTTCAAGACGTGGAAGAAGACACTCCCCAAGGAGCGCCGGGATGTCTTCTTGAAGGCTGCTGAGATCTTTGAGAGGAGGAAGGAGGAGCTCGGGGACTACATGATGCAGGAGACTGGTGCCCCTCGCCAGTGGGCCGACTTCAACTTGGACGTCGCGAAGGACTTCTGCCTTGACATTGGCGGCCGGATCCGCACTCTCGAGGGCACCATTCCCACCACTGCCGATCCTGAGACCGGCGCCATGATCGTCAGGGAACCCTTTGGTGTCATTCTCGCCATTGCCCCATGGTATGTTGCCCTGATGGCACGCAGCGCTTCACATCAAAAGCTGACATGCAGATCAGGAACGCCCCCTACATCCTCGGCATCCGCTCCATCCTCTTCCCCATCGCCGCCGGCAACACGGCCATCCTCAAGGGCAGCGAAGCCTGCCCCCGCACCATGTGGGGCCTCTGCTCCGTCTTTCACGAGGCCGGCCTCCCCGCCGGCGTCCTCAACATGCTCGTCCACTCCCCCCAGGACGCCCCCCGCATCACGGCCAACCTCATCGCCGAGCCGGCCGTCAAGAAGATCAACTTCACCGGCTCCACCGGCGTCGGCCGCATCATCGGCCGTCTGGCGGGCGAGAACCTCAAGCCCGTCCTCCTCGAGCTCGGCGGCAAGGCCCCCGCCATCGTCTGGGAGGACGCCGACCTCGACAACGCCGCCTTCCAGTGCGCCCTCGGCGCCTTCCTCAACAGCGGCCAGATCTGCATGTCTACCGAGCGCATCCTGGTTCACAAGAACGTCAGGGCCGAATTCGAGAAGAGGTTTGTCGGCGCCATTGACCAGATTTTCGGGTCTGCTCCCGACGCGCCTATCTTGATCAACAGCGCGGCTGTGACCAAGAACAAGGCTCTCATCAAGGATGCGCTGGCCAAGGGCGGCGAGTTGCTGTACGGCAACCCTGACGCTGTGGAGAAGAGCGACACGAGGATGAAGCCGGTTGTGATCACCAATGCGAACAGGGAGATGGAGATCTACCAGACGGAGAGCTTTGGGCCGTCGGTGGCGTTGTATGAGATTGAGACGGAGGAGGAGGCGCTGGAGGTTGCGAACGACACCGAGTATGGTCTCACGTCGGCGGTCTTCACGGAGGATCTGAGGAGGGGGTTGAGGTTTGCCAAGGAGATCGAGACGGGGGCGGTGCACATCAATAGCATGACGGTGCATGACGAGAGTGCGCTGCCGCACGGTGGCGCGAAGGCGAGCGGGTATGGGAGGTTCAATACTGCCACGGGGATGGCGGAGTGGGTGAGGACCAAGACTATCACTTACAAGTTTTAGGTGAGGGCTGTAAGGTTGGGGAAGGCAGGGGTAAATAAGGGGCTACTGCACATATAAATGAAGCATCTTGAACTGTACAGCTCTGGTCCATCAATGCGAATTGCTACAGATTGATTGCTATCGAGGTTGACAGCTATTAGGGGTATCTGTACCTACTGAAGGAGAATTAGATATCTGACTGGCAGAGATGGCGAAGTATCTCGGCTTCAAACCCCTTGAAAATTCTTTCTAGTCTCCGTATTCGGAATTTCTTACCTTATCCCCTTCTCGCCACCATATACCACTCTAACAAGATGCCACCAAACCTTCACTCCTTCCTAACAAACTTCTCCCCCCCCCCCCCCCCACTTCGTTCCCCGACCAGACAGGAAAAGAAGTCTTTCTCGTCACCGGCGCCACTTCAGGCATCGGTGTTCTCTGTCACACAACAGCCCTGCTCCCTCAATGGAAAAATCTGGATGGCAGCTCGCTTCCGAGTCCAAATTCTCAGCTGCCGTCCGATCCATCAAACCCTCCCGCCCCAACTCCCACGGCGAACTCCTATGTCCCTGTTTATCTTTCTTGGTTCTTACGGCATGGGGATGTTTGCCGAGCCTCGGGTTGGGGGCACAGATGGGGTGTCTAATGGGTGGTGATTTCACCAACACCACCCCCGACCAAAGATGCTCCCGTGTCCAAAACCGGAGCCTGGGCGCAGGCGGTGGAGTCTGACAGGCGGTATGAAGACAAAGGGGTGGTGGGTGTGGCGGTGAACCCGGGGGAATCCTGAGGAGTGGGTTGTCTGATGACCGGGAGCTCAAGATACGGCCGGCGGCCAAGGTGCTCGGCTGAGAACGGGGGTGTGACCGAGGTCTGGGCTGGTTTGGCGCCCGAGGTGACGGCGGAAGGAACGGTGGAGAACCGGGGTGAGTGCGATACCTACCTACTTGCCCATCTACTCCTCATTGGAAAAGGAAAAGTTGGGTGATGATGATGCTGACTTGACACTAGTTATTCCCTGTGGGGGGGGGGGGGGGGGGGAGATTTACCCCATCAGAGAGGACCTCAAGATGGCCGTTAGGTCGAGGGAGGAAGGGGGAAACGGGCGGGACGGGGGATTTTGGGGGGTTGGTGTGACGAGCAGGTTGAGCCTTTGGTAGGGGCGGGATAAGGTCACACACAGACCGGAAAGGTGGTGGTGGTGATAGATTATGATGTGCGTTTCAGTCAGTCGATACTGACATGGGACAATGGTCTCCATCCTCCCTCACGCCATTTCTATTCACCGCATGAAATCACACTTTCTACCAGCAAGTAAAATAATCGCGGCTGACTTCCTCATTAATTACAACTCTTGCAAAGATCTTCAAAAATATATCCATCCATCCACCAGGGGTGGAGGCAAGGGTGACAAAAGAAAAGAAGGGGGTATAACCATTCCAATCCCAAAACAAAAGAAATAAATGACCGACGCCAGTCAGTGATGATGCTAGCTTGCTTCTCCCCTTCCTGAGAAGCCCCAATCTTATACTCCTTCTTTTCCCCCCCAAAAAAAACGCCTTGAATATATGCCCCAATCCCCTTTCCCAAAGTGATAAAACAAGCAGATAAAACAACACAACAGAAAAGAACACACCCCCTCCCCCCTTATCAACTACCTCCCTAACCCCCCATATCCTCCCCCATTACCCCCATATTGATACCTATCCCCCTCCCTCCCTCCATACTGCTCCCCACCCCCCCCACTAACATACCCATCCCCCCTCGCAACCCCCCCCAAATCCGCCCGGTCCAACATCTCCGTAAAAGTAGTCATATCCGTATACCTCCTCCCATCATCCCCCTGTTGCGGCGTCCGATCCGGCGTGATATTCCTCGGATCCGCAAAAATATTGATACTAACACCACTCACCTCCCTCCCTTGCTGCTCCGGCGTCCTCGGCGCCAGTCCCCCCTGGTACCCCGGATTCCCATCATCACTAACCGGCATATCCGGCATATCCACATACTTCCTCTGCCCGCCCGGTTGCTGGGGTGAATAATCCGCAATCAACCCCCCATAAGCAACACTGCTCATCCTCCTATTCTGGTTTGGAGGTGAAGCAACAATCTGGTTGTTGTCGTAGGAGAGAACCGAGTTTCGCATGTCCATCGCGTTGTTGTTGAGCATTTGCGGGGTGGGCAGCCTGGCTCCGAAATCTGTTCTCAACGCCGGTTTATCGTCGTGGAGGATAGGGGCGGAGATGATGTTGCCAAAGGAGGAGGTCGACCGCGAGAGTTTGAGGGGTGAGCTTGACGACGAAGCCGTCTGGCCAGCCTTTCTCTTGCGGATGAAGATGAAGGCGAGGACGCCGGCGATGATTAATACCACTGCTCCCGCTGCGGCACCGCCCGCGATTCCGGCGATAGGAGGGCCGGCAGACTGCGGGACTGCCGTCGCGGTCAGCGTCTCTGACGGACTCGCGGTGGTCGATGGTTTCGACGTGGGGGTGGTAGAAGGTCTCGAAGATGGTGTGCTCGACTGCGAAGGTGCAGCGTTCTGGTTGGTGTTCATGACACACTCGCCATTAACGCACGAGTACCCAAACGGACAGCAATCAGAGCCGCATTTTGGCAGAGAGCCCCCGAGGGCGGTTGTCTTGATGACAGAGTCCGGGGCCTTGTCGGCGTCTTGAAGCTCAATGTTGCAGTCGATGGGCCGGAGCTTTTGACATGTTGAACCGTTCGGACAGCAAACGACCGTGGTGTTGCCGGCGAGGACGAGGCACCTGTCGCCTGCTGGGCAGCAGAAAGAGCTGGGGACGTTGGCGTTGCCGCATCCTGAAAAGTTTGGTGCGCCGCATGCGTCTTCTTGCCTGGCGAATATCTCGTATGTCGTCGGGATCGCGGACGCGGTCGCCAAGATCATGGCGAGAGCGATGGCTCGGAGGGCTGTTCGTCTCCTGGCCATCTCGGAGAGGAACCGGTGCTATAATAACCCTTGATAACGTTTGTCTGGGCAGGCGTTGTGACGCCTGGGTAATGAGCTGTGTCCTATATTAGGTATCCCACGCTGGCAGGCACACGGTGTTCACCGAAACAGTGTGTGATGTTGCTATCGCTTCGGTTTGGCCCGAGTAAGAAAGGAAAAAGACATAAGATGAAGTTGTGGAATAGTCGAACCACGCAACAACACTGTAAGTGATTTGCAGAACCAAACCTGACTGGTAGCTAGTGAGCAGAGGAGAGAGAAAGAGAGAAAAAAAAAGAGGGCCACAGGCCACCTCGAGTGTATATCGAAGCAGAGATGAGATGACGCATTTCGCCTTCAACTCCATCGAGACAAGACCTCTGGCTATTCTCGCGCAGAAACTAGACGCAGGGTCAGGTTAGCAGGTCGGGCAGAAGAAGCCGTCCTGTCCTGTCCAACGGACCCTGCTGCGGACCCATCAGGAATATTCTGGGCCATGTCGAGCTGCGGGCGGTTGAGAGGTCGCTGTTGAAGCGCCGATGACCTCCTGGGGTGACCATATGACCCTGCCAGAAAACGAGTGGTGGTGAGCAACTCTCTTTCACCGTTGGCTCCGTCCCAAACGGGCAACTGGGCGTTTGGAGAACAGTCGTGACAGGCCGAGGCCGACCACCTGATTGGACAGCCCAACCAAATTGTGCTATTTTGGGTTACATAAAAATGACTCCTCCTTACACTTGTTGGCAGCGTGCACGGTCCAGGTACCCGCATCAACCACACAGCCTTGTTTTAACGCCAGGAACAACAACTAAAGAATCTCAAAAAAAATAAAAAATAAAAAAAAGGCCCGTCATCGCCAACCTGCATACCCGTCAAGCGCGCTTCCCATGATAAAAGAGGCCTCGTTTTTTTTCTTTCTTCCTCGGCATCATACGTGGTCATCGGGGCTTAGAGTCTTGGTTTTGCAAGCTGGGCGGGTATCTAACATCCAGTATCCCAACTCTCGCGGCCGCGCCGCCCTGTCCTGATGTGATGATGGCAAGTCTGATATCCACCACACCTCACATCAAGCCGAGGTTTACCGCACTTCATATCACAAAGCCCGGTTTCCTCTTGGCAAAAACTGTAGATCCGTGATACCCTTTCCTCGGCAGTGTGTGTTATGGAATGGTACCACCCAACGCAGGCCTCAGATCTGGCCGGGGGGGCCGTCTACCGAACCCGGACCCGAAAAGACGGGAAGCCCACTTTGTTTCGCGCCAGACCCCCGAAACAGTCCTGGCCCGTTGTGGCCTTGACCACATGCAACTCTCAGAAAAACAAACATATAATAATCCCCATTGTTCGGCTTCAAAAGTGGCAGGTTCAGTCGGTTGGGATTGGGCTTGAGGTGCGCTTTGTTGATGAGACACGGACGGTTGTGAGATGAGATGGTGATATGTAGGCCCCAGCAAAAATATTATATTCAATCTCTAACACAATGAAGAGTGTGATGTGTCAATCATCATGGTTGAAACCCGTTTTGCTTCAACACAAAAGTAACTGAATGAAGACACGGACAAACAGTCTCACATCCATCAAAGAGTACATAAGAATATCCAATCTCAATACTTTTCATTCTTCACTTATCCACTAAACTAATCCCACATCCTCCCAAAAACCCCAATCATATCCAAATATTCATCAATCCATAAAAGAGCGTCGCCAACAGACTATGTCGCCATAGGTTATCTGATCAGGCTTTCTTTCAAAGGTCTCTCTCTCAATCTAAAAAGGCAATCAACATGTCAAAGCTAGAGAAAAAGGTGAAGAAGAGACCCAAAGTAGCCTAAAAGAAGTCCATAAAAATATGCCCCAATTTATGCATAAATGATCATCCAAAATGAAAGTGAAAAAGTACGTATCATAACCCAAAAAAAGCAATAACAGACTGGTAAGGTATCATCGTCAATGAAAAAAGTGAAAGGTACATAAAGAAAAGAGGAGTGAAAAGGAAGAAGAAGAGGGTATAAGCGGGGGTATAGATATCATGTCGAAATCCAATAAGAAAAAACACAAGAAAAAAAAACAAGAAAAAAAACCAAGAGCGGAGTATTACCAAAGGAAACCAACCCCCCTTTCCAAGCCCTAAATCATATTCCCATTCACCACAACCTCAAACCCCTCCCCCTTCTGCTTCATGGCCTTAGCAAGCATCAACTCCCTCATCCAATCAATCCTCTCATCCCTCCCCTTGACCGCAAAATGATGCGTCTTCCCCGTCCCATTCACCGCCCCCTCAATCCCCTCCCTCTCCCCCCCAGCACCACTCTCCTTCTTCTTACTGAGCACCCCCCCCAGCCCAAGCGCCTTCCTCCCATCCTGCGGCACCAGCTGAAAACTAAAAGCACCCACATCCCCCCTCCTCGCCAACTCATCACTCCCCCGTCGGATATGCATCGCCTTGAACGCCGCCCCCAGCTTATTCCCGCTCTGCTGCATGCTGCTGCAGGCAATAGCATAGTCATCAATATCGATATACTCCAACGTCCTATTCTTCTCCTTCTCATCCTTGTGCATCGTCAGCCTTGTCCCCTGAAGTCTAAAGAAATGCTCGTGCCACTCGTGCCTGAGCATCTTTGTTTTTCTCTTCTTCATGAGACCTTGATAACTGATAGCCTCGCCACCCGTCATGTCAGGGGTGGGTTTATCGCTCACGGGCGACAGTCGGCCGTTGATGTTGACTGTTTTCACACCGGCGGGGTTGTTGGTTGTTGTAGTAGTAGTAGTAGTTGTTGTTGTTGTTGTAGGGGGGATGGCTTTTTCCAACGTGGGGCGGTCGGTTTGTGTCCAGGGGTAGTTCACCCTCGGGGGAGCCTGCAACGGACGACGCTGTGAAAAAGAGCGGTTGAGGGCGGAGGGGATGTTGTTGTGGCTGTTGTTGTTGTTGGAAAGGGGGGAGACGATGCTGTTCTCGTCGAGGGCCGGCATGACGGGGAAGGAGGGCCGGCGGATGGTGTTGCGCGACAGGGACCGCATCGTGGGGTTGCGGTAGTTCATGTCGGGGGGCACAGACTGCGAAAAGTCACGCGAGGGGGCGGGGAGGGAGGTGATGGTGATGGGTACGTCCATTTCTGAGAAGGGTGTGCCGAAACGGTACAGGGGAGCGGCGCCGGTGGGGGTGGACTCTGACGAAGAGGGGGAGAGTTCTCGGAAGGAGGGGATGACTTGGGAGATTGGGCGGGCGGAGCGGGCGCGGGCGGATTGAGGGTCGTAGGTGTTGGGTGTGGTGGTGGATGGGTGGGTTGGGATGGAGAGCTTGGGGAGGCCGCGGAGGCCGGTGTGAGGTTGGGGAGTGGTGGTGTTGCTGCCGTAGACCGGGGAGTTGCTCACGGGGGAGATCTCAAAGGGTGGTGTTGGGGGGACTTCGCTGCTGGTGGAGTGTTGGTGTTGGAAGTCGAGGAAGTGACGGACGTTGTCCTGGGCGTCTCTTGTCTCGACATTACGAAGGGCAGCTTCTTGGAGGTACTGCATTGTTGTGAAGGCACCGGGTCCCATGACATCGGATGAAGCCACCACAGAAGGGACGACATCGGATACCGGGCGGAACTCGTCCTCTTCCGGCGCGACAAGACCCGTGGTAGCGGTGACCTTTCCAAGGTCGCCGGCAAGCATGATGACGCCCTTGTCGTTGAGGAACGGGTGGTCCTTCTGGAAGGCCTCCATCAGCCGCTTGTATCTCTTGGCCTTGGAGCAGTTCTCGCCCTTGGAGCACTGGTGAGGCTTTGGCAGTACCTGCTCAATACCCACGATGGACACCGACTCCAAAGGAGAGATGACATCGTTGATCTTCAACCTCGGCTTCCGCTTGTCCTTGGTCGCGCCGCTCTCCTTCCTCTTGAGTTCCCTTCTGACCTGCTTGTCCGGCTCATCCTCAATCGGTGTCTCGGGCATAGGCTCCGGCTTCTGCATGTCCCTCATGCTGTGAATCTCCTCCCAAATCAACGTCCTCACGCCAAAAGATGAAATCCCCAGCTCCTTCAAGTCCTCAAACTTCAACGTGATCAAAATAGCACCCGTGATATCATTCTCGACAAACTTTTCCGCGGCGGGAAGCTCAACACCGGCATTCAGCATCCTCTGCGCAACCATTTCCGGAGACCACATATGCAGCGCCGACGTATCAAGCTCCTCGTCGGTAAACTCAAAAGGGCCGGCCGTGTTGCGCCTCTTTTTTGGCAGAGCGGTGAGGTGAACATCCTGAAGCTGGTAGTCCATCAGATGTGGCTTCTTGGGCGTCACAGGCGAGAGCGAAAGCGCATGTTGCAACTCGATGGACTGGGCCGAGGACATGGAGCTCCGGAACAGGTGAGGACCTCTCGGGCCTTCTACTGGTTGCTGCTTCACTTCATACGTGTCGAATGCGAAGGGCCGTTGCCGCAGGGACCTTGGTGTTTGGACCTCGTCGTATGTGGAGAGGGTGGTAAAGCTGTGTTGGCCGGACTGCGTGTTGTTGTTAGCAACTGCCCCTCTGTCCACATCAGGGGTGATCAACGCACCGAACCGCCAATGCTGGCACGGGGGGAACATTCGCCATCTTCGATTCCTTCCAGATCCCCGAATTCGCTGTAGACCTCGTCGTCGTCGTCGTCATCATGATCATCATGTTCGTGGCCCATCTCGGCTTCTGACTCCATGAATTCCGTGTACACAGAGTTTGGCCTGTCATTGAAAGCCGGCGTTGTGAATACCGGACCCCTCGCCCTCCCCTTTTCCCTCATTTCCATCTGCGGGTGCTCTCGTGGAGCGAAGCGTACTTGAGCCTATACAATTGTTAGTATTTCACTCACTATCCAGCTATTCATGCCTACCATTGTGAAATCAGACTCGGTGTAACTGGTGAGATTGGCAGATTAAATTGTTTGCCAAGGTAAGGAGTTAGTGCCGTTGCCGGCAGTGTTTGCCTTTCAAAAAGACAAGATAGGTTCTTAAGACGGAGCAGTTGGGACGAACTAGACCCT